ATACGCGAACTCCTGTGGACTCTTCTGGTGGTCAACTTCGAGATCTTGCGCGCCATCTTTCGATGGCTTTTCCCAGCTGAACGTAAGGATGTCGCCGGAGAAGTTGTACTGGTATGTGGCAATTAATCTTGTTGTAAACAAAACATAACAATGACTTTTTAAATACGTCTTAAACGAAATAGGATAAAAATCGTTTAAATCTATAATATTTAATTTCTAAAGGCATTGTGTCAGGAAGATAATTCGACTCTGTGCCCGGTGTACTAGCGCAACACTAGCCGTACTAAAATGTCGACATTTATGTCCCCTCACTAACTCTGTCACTTGACTTTATAACGAAAGCACGCCATTCCCGTCAAATAATTCTAATTAATAATGTCAAAAAATAGTAACATTCTTTAGTACATATTCTAAAAAAAATATTATCCGATAAAAACGATTATTTTTACACTTTGTACCGACATTTCAACATTAATCATAATACTATCTCATAGAGTGATAATAACAGAAGCATTGTGAAAAGATCTATTGATTAATTTAATTAGGACAAAAACACTGGCAACTAAAAAGAGTTGGAAAAGACAAGCAAAGTTTTTAAATTATAAAATTAACGAAAAAAAAGACAGATGAGGAACCAAACTATAATTATTGGCCACTGAGGTTTTGAACCTGGTAGCTTTTAACATGTATAAAGTACTAGCTATCGGTCGCGACTTCGTCCGCGCGGAATTATAAAAAACTAAATTCGTAGCCTATATTTTATATCTGTGCCAAATTTCATTAAAATCAGTTGAGTCGTTCAAAAGATATCTTCAAACAAACATCCATTTAAACTTTCGCATTTATAATATTAGTAAGAATCAAACTGTTCAGATTACAGGCACAGGCCATGGTATGGGCCGCGAGATGGCATTGCGGTTCGCACGGTTGGGCGCCAAAGTGGTTTGCGTTGATATCAACGCTAAGAGCAACGAGGAGACTTACAACATGATACTAGCCGAAAAAGGAAAAGCTTATAAATACGTGTGAGTAAGCAAAATCAAATTTTTTATATTTAACTAATTTTATTGGAGCCTCCTAAGATCTGACACTGTTATTTAAACTGTTGAAAGAAAATGTAAGCCTATGGAAAAACTGATATAAAAACGGCTAAACACTCACGTGTATTTGAAATTTAAAAAATGAACGACGCAGACTGGAACAATGTAAACTATCTTAAATGTAATGTATTTTATAGGAACAAAAACTAACTCTAATGATTGTAAATAAACACATGAAGTTACACAAACGTTACCAAATATTATTGATCTACTTTACTTGTTATTATTTCCAGTTGTGACGTAACGGACCGTGCAGCGGTGCTGCAGCTCGCAGAGCAGGTCCGCAGGGATGCAGGTGACGTCAACGTGCTGGTCAACAATGCGGGCATTATGCCATGCAAACCCATCACAGAGCAGACAGAGAAGGAAATCCGTCTCATGATGGATATCAATGTTAATGCTAATATTTGGGTAAGCAATTATAATTCACCGCTAATACTAGTGCAATGCTTTGATTTTAAACTATACTGTACTCACTATACTGGGGTATAATTATAATAATAACGCAACATAACCATCTGCAAGAAAGGTATGATCACTATACTAGTCAGGAATCCAAGTGTTTGACATCCATTCTAACATCTGTTTATATAAACAAAGTCAATAGAGCAACCGTATCCATTGATTATTCTGCAATTGAACCCGTCTTTTACCAAACAAGTGTTAAGTTTGATACCAAAGATAGTATGAAGCTTTTAACTAAGACTATATCCGATACGGCACAAAAGTTAATCCTGAGACTAATAGTCTGCTAAGACATATAAAACTGGTTGATAGCGATAATTTCGTCATTTTCAAAAGCAGCAATGTTCCTTAATGAAATCTTAGGATGCAAATTAAATCTTATTTTCCAATACCAGTGTATTCAAGCGTTCCTGCCAGCGATGATCGAACGTAACCACGGTCACATCGTGGCGTTATCGTCTATGGCGGGCCTGATGGGCATCCGCAACCTCGTCCCGTACTGCGGCTCCAAGTTCGCTGCCAGGGGTATCATGGAGGCGCTCGCTATTGAAGTGAGAGAGGACCCCAGGGATACAAGTGGAGTTAGTATACATTTGATTATTGGAAAATGCTCCCAAGTACTGCTATTACAAAACTAGCTTTAATTTCTATAATCTTTCGCATCGTAATAGCTAAGTAAAAAATAATTAATTTCGAAGCTACTGTATCTCAGAAATCTCCTCTGTGAATTAGTCTACAACCTTCTAACTTATTTTGGGCATAAATTTTGCGGAATTAGCAATTCTACCAACTTGTTCAGTTTGGTGAAGGAAGTTTTCGTGATGCAACCTGCACATATCTGAGAAGATATTAAGAGATATGTGTGAAGATAACCCGCACTTGGCCAGCGTGGTTCACTGTGGCCTAATCACATCTAACTTATTGTAGAGTAGAGCCTCTCGCTGGGGAGTTAAAGTATGCTGATGATGTTAAGTTTGATTCAGATAAATTGTTTGTACTACAGCTATTCTTTATCATCTTACTCGCAGATCCACTTCACGACAGTCTGCCCATACATTGTGAACACAGGGTTGTGCCACAAGCCTCGTATCCGCTTTGAGAGCGCAATGAAGGTTGTCAACGCTGGCGAGGCGGCGGACATGATTGTTGATGCTGTGCTCAGGAATGTCATGGAGATTACTATCCCTCCTGAATTACATTATATGAATCGGGTAAGTTACAACTATAGTCAGAGTTTGGTTATGCATTAGCTTATTGTAGATTTACCGTATTAGGAGTAAGTTCTTGAAGACTCTGTGGCCTTAATGTCTATTTAGTTGTTTGCCCTTTCAATGACTGATTTATTCAGTTACGATACGCATCATACCTAACTATAGAAGACTTTTCTTGCAACAACATTTGGTCTTGCAAAAGCAAACTGAAAAAAAGTCACAGAGTATACAATTGCCAGCGTTCTTTTATGCGATTTTTACTGGTTACCAATGTACTATAAAAATTATATGTAAGATGCTGCTATTGGTGATAATTCTAAATTGGTCTTTATTTTCTTTGTTGTAATGTTGTTTTTTAATTGCAGTACATTCATCGACTACTCCCGTTCCCCGCGGCCGCCGCTTTCAACGACTTCTTCGACACCGGCGTTGATGCTCACGACTGAATGTTGTTTACATAAATTTTTGTATATTTCTAGTAAAATATTTTATTTTTACATATTTGTTTTATTTTACATTATTAAAAGAAAAAAAAGATATAGAAATTTATTATTATCTATAGAAATTTACAATTACAACAAAATATTAGCAAAAATGGCATTAACCTTTTTTTTTTTAAATTAGATAACATTTTTTTTCTTAAGTCTATTAAAAATTATTTCAAGAAAATAGAGGTTTAATGATAAGGTTTGCTCTTGGTTAACATAACTCATTACATTAAACGCCATTGCCTGTCTTTTCGAAGGCAAACATTGGCCGAAAGCTTCTAATAAAAGAGGTTCCTGAGTCACCGCCTCTCTGAAAACAATTTATAAGTAACTTTTACCGTGAGTTACTGAGACCGAAAACTCCGTTTAAAAAATATCTCTGTTTTATCAATGATAATGACAAAAATTTAGAAGTTTCAGAATCTTCTTTCTTGAAATAATGTTATTTGCTTCGATAAATAACAAAATTAATATGTTATCAAAGAGAATTTTCATAAACATAACCGTGGTTAACTAACAAAAACATTATTTTAAAGATAAACATCTTAAAGAGTTTATTTCTAACCTGTAGTCGTCTAAAGAGACTTTTCCATCTTTATCAACATCCAATTTCTTTAACACCAGCTCTACTAAGTCCCTCACGCCTTCGTCCGGATCCTCGTCTCCTGGTTGCTTTAGTAATGAGTTCCTAAAATTTATATTCATAAGTAAACTTCTCCCACAAGGGCTTATATCTATATAGGGAAATAAGGTACGAGAAAAGGATCTAAATAAAACTAAGTAATTAGTTAAATTTGAAACAAACACTCACTTTAAAAGTAAAAACATTTCATCTCTAGTAATATAACCATCTCCATTAAGATCGTAAACAGAGAAGCAATGTATGCGCCTTTCTTCATCAGTTCCTTTAAGCATTTTGCTGAGTCCACGGGCCCAGGGTTCGAATTTAATCGCGCCTTCACCTCCTCCCGCACCCCGCTCCCACGTCGCCCACACTCTTTCTAGCACAGCTTCCTCGGTTACCAAGTCGAATGTACTGTGCATCACATCTCTAAACGTGCATTGGTCTATACCCTGACAAGAAGCACAGAATTTAGGCAAATTAATTAAAGTTCATAATTATTAAATTGCAATTTACATATTTGTGGAGAGGTAAAAAAACAGTTTACTTCCCTGTTTTTTTCTTGGTTTACAGTTTATTCTAAAAGTAACTAGAAATATTTTCTACAGTCTACGCCTATTATGAATAGCCTGTGTAAAAAAATATGACAAAATGAATATCATGATACAGATTGAAGATAAGTTTGGAGATATGGATGTAAAAATGATTGAAAGATTGTTGTTGCGTCTTTTAATTACCAAGATATTAAAAAAAATATTAAACGCAAAAAAAACAAACGTAAAATAATTGCATCAAAGGATCAGTTTGTTTGTTCCTTGCATTAATGCCTCTTAAACATTTAAGCTATTTCAAATGTTTCCATTCGTAATTACCAAAGCTTCGTTATAAACGTTAACTTGCCTAAAGTTCACAACTTGTGATTATTTATTGCAAAAGTTGGACTCTGGTGAAATATTTTATTCAAACAAATGAAAATTCTCGTAAACAACTTTGGTAACCTTTAAAAACTGTTGACACAAATTCAGTTCATTTGTTTTGGTTTCAAAAAAAGAATTTCAGAAGAATTTCTTGGATTAAGTAATGACCGAAATTGTTAAAGATTAAGCGTTGGTTTCTGACATCAAAATCTCTGTTAAGAAAGAATAAAACATATCATCATCCCTGTCATTTTCTTTAACAAAACAGAGATAACAATATTTTTAGACGGAGATCATAGATTTACATAAAGCATTTTTTTTTTACATGAGGTGGCAAACGAGCGAGCGGCCACCTGAAATCGCTGAAATAGCGAACTGACCGTTGCCCATAGACATACGCAATTGCATATGCGTTGCCTACCTTTAATTGACGGAGGAGAGGATGCACGGAAAGAAAATATTTTCTCTTTCCATGCATCCTCTCATCCGGAAAGTCCACTGCCACGTCCCATCCTTTCCTTAAAAGAAAAAGGATGGGAAGGGAAAGAGGACTAAATTAGGCCTCCGGGACAAAATTTTATTTATGTACAAATTCGTAATACTATTCGTATATTTGTGGTACTGTAATGATAAAATGTCAGAAGTGATTTATTTTGTTATTTCGTTTGTATTCGTTGCGTGCGGTCTCATCGTGTAAGCACATGACCCAAACTTTATGGCTTTTCTTTTTCTACGATGAACTAGCGAACAAACATTTCTTGTTCAGACTTATTTATGGAAATAACTAGTCTGTATGCGATGGCCTATTAAAAAAAACTTCTATGTATTTATCATATTTCAAATGTTTTTATTCAAGTAATTCGTGTTTCATAAAAAACTTTTTCTCATGAATTATAACGCCTATAGCCTTCAGCTCGGCTACGTCTTTGGGTTTAGAAGCGGATTTTCAAATTTCAATAACTTTGTTAAAATGCAAAAAAGTACTTTTGTATGGAAGATATAAGATCTTAAGATATACGACGAAAAAAAAACGACTGAAAAGGTTCATTCTAAAACTAATTTTGATGATTATTTTTTTAATCGAAAACGAGTTGAAGTCTCGGTTGACACGAATATAACAAGACTTGTAGAAAATATACAAGAAACAAGAAAGAATGCGTGTTTTTTTTAGTTTCTCGTGCAATATTATCTAATATTAACTTACATCAAGTTTAGCTGGAGACTGGCCGATGGCGGAAGTAGGAACCATTGACTGGGCACTGGTCACCAACTTTCTGTACATACAGTATAACGCCTCCAGTTCGTTTCTGAAAAAAAAACAGAATTCTTAAGGTTTCATTATTGGTGTTACTAACCATAAACGACACGTAGGCTTCGATACTCATTAACTTAAGCATAGCTTAATGTTAAAGTTATTTGAAAGTCAATGTAACTTTATCGATACTTTTAAAGAAGTTAATTTTCAAACTTAAAGTATAGTTCCACTCACACTTTAAGCAAAATCTTGTAATAAAAAAAAATACTTATGCATAATTAAGTAATTCTAACGTAGGATACTTTAAATTATTTAATTTGGTTTATCATTACTTGGTACATAACAATGGAAATAATTTTAAACATATAGAATTATTTTTTATTCATTCACAATCTCATAAATATTGATAAAGTAAAACTCACTTATTAAAATGTGTGTTTTTATACAAGGACTCAAGAGTTTTCTCTTTGAGTTTTCTGTGCGGCATCGCGAACTGTTAACGTACGCGTCTAACCTCACGACCTGACTGCTTACAACTGTTGAGTCGAGACAAGGCGGTGTAAACAATATGTCATGAACTAAAGCCTACTGGAAAAGACGACACGAACACCCAACTAAAGTTATAAAGCAAGTAACACAAGTATAAAGCTGACAAAAAGTTTGTTATTGTAGTAAAGAGAATACCCTTAAGATATAACTATTTCACTTTCTTAGTTTCAGTATCAATCATGATCGTCATCATCATCAGCCTGTACAGTTAAACAGAGATCTTCCCCAAGGACCATATTTCTTCCATCAGAAAATAAATTAAAGGTATGGTGCATATCATTTACTAATTATACCGCTGTTTTGCTGTTTTTTGGGCGATATTGTTTGATGTGAACTCTCCGCGTCCTTCTGTCAGTAATAGCTGAACCCTCTTCATATCAACTGTTTACTCACTTTGTAAACTTGGTGGTCTTGAGCAGTATTTCCAACGTTTTCTGCTGTAACTTGTGCGTCGGCAAAACCGGCTTGAGGCGAGGTTTGCGGCGAGGCGCGGGAGGTGCGGGTGGCGGTGCCCGTCTGTCAGCAGCTGCGCGCCCTGCCGTCAGGAACAGCTG